AGAAGTTATCATTTGCAGAGCGTTACCATTTTTTTCACTTGAAGCTTAAGTTTTGCAGTTATGTAGACTTTGCTGCTTTTATCAAGAAAAAAGCAGCTTTTTGTGAGCTGAATAACTTTCACGTTTTGTATCTCAATTTGGTACTCAAAATAAACGATAATGACGTCGCTTTGAGTGAGAACTTCTTGAAGATTAGGAATTGTACTCTGGAACAGGCTTTTCCGATAGCACAAAATAAGAAGAACGTTGCAAATGGATCAGTATGCGTTAGAAATGAGAGTTCTCCTCTGATTAATTCTAACCTTATACTGCTGCAGTGCTGCCACAATCATAAGCCCAAAATCTTCGTTACTGCCTAAACTGTAAAGACAGACAAAGAAGACAGATTTATAAACCCCCTGATGCTGAATGTCTGAATTTCCACAAACTGTTTTGGCCATCTTTGACTAATCGTGCGGAATAGAACAGAAAGTATAAAAGCAAGGTAGAGCCAGATTACAGAAAAACAAGAACATAAACTCTTTCTACATTAGAGGAAAAACTAACTGATTGTTTGAAGAAACACTCTTGTTTGCATTCAAGTGGTTCTTGGAGAAGTTCATAAATACCAGGTAAAAGCACAGACTCAAAAAAAGCTCAAAACCCTCTCACACAAAAAAAAATTCGTTAATTTGAATTAACAACTTGAAAAAATCACAGCATATGAACAATCCGCTAGCCACAAAAAGCCAACAAAAATCACGCTGAAGGCGCAGAAAATGTTTATCTTTCGCTGTGTTTTAGCGTTTCAATCATACTTTTGTCAAAAAGATAAGACTTAACAGTACTTACAAAATTAAAAATTGATTAAATTTTTTTTACCTTTTTTTCCCATTTGCAATCATCAGCAAGAAATGCCACGCAAGTAAGTACCGCTAGAAACAGTATCACTGCTCTCGCAGCATAAGCAAACTCTGTCGGGTAAATCACCAGTGAAATTGAGAAACCTCCTCTCAAAATGCGAAAATACTGTTCTGCATAACGATCAAAATTCTCTTTCAAGTTTTCTCGCCATATTGCTTTAGGGCAAAACGAGCGTAGCTAAAAAAACGATAAAATACAGTTTAAAGAAATTCAAGAAAAGAAATTTGATTGAGGACTGGCGCAACAACCAAAATAGAAAAAAGATAATGAAACACAGCCTTAATATCACTTAAAAATTTTACAGTTACTCTGTTTTCTAATTTTCAGCAACTAACTTTAAAGTCACCATTGATAAATTTTAAAATGCAATTTTTGGACAGAACACTGTTGAAGATCTTTAAATGCGTCGTCCCAGAGCTGCCAAATCTAGATTGTTCAAAGTGAAATCGGTTAAACTGTTCAAGTAGTTTGGAAGAACTACAACTCTGATAGAATTGAGAAGTTACGAAGCTTGATTATTGTCCTTTTGCTCTCTATTTTTTGCACAAATGCAGTTTACGTCTTTTCGCTTGGTATTCGATAATCGTCATGTGTCGGCAGAGTATTTTTTTTAAACAAACACTAAAGTTTCACATTTTTAGGTGTAATCTTCACTGTCTTCGTGTGACACTTCTGGAGAGCTTCTAGGGATTGGGCTTGAGACAATAAACGGTTTCTCATTCAACATTGCCTAACCGAATCTTTTTTTTGTTAACAATCTTTCTGTTTTAATAAACCAATTCTGTATTATTTTGAACTTTTCTTCTCAACACCTTGAACTTCTATTCTTAGGGCTTTAGCATAGGCAGCACAGACACATCTATAATCTGTTGTTAATTTTGACTTACAAGTAAATGATTAAAAATAAATCACAAATATGACTTTCTAGAAGCTTGAGTATACGTAATCAATAAATCAGTTAAAAAGTAAAAAATATCTGCTTTTAAAAGGCAAAAAAACACTTGTTATCAATAAGAACATTTATTTATATATTTTTAAAAACAAATTTTTAACCTTTGAAAGATGTTATGAACATACCGCATAATTGAATGAGCTGGAACATTCAGTTTGCTCAGTTTTTTTCTGCTCCTTACACATTCTGAACAAAGAAGGTCTGCCGCTGTTTCTGTAACCTTGAAAGATGCTTTTAAGATATTATTTCATATGCCATTAAAAAAGCACTAAAAAACATCAGTTAATAAACAGCTCGCTTTTCTTGATTCTGTCAACTAGAGACCCGAATATGTCTAAATATAGGTGATCTAAGAGTCGAGAGCTATAAAGTTCAAAGTACAGAAAAAAAATGAAAATACTGGTTGAGAAAATGTGAGTTGTAAAAAAATAATAAATAATTGAAAAAAATTTTTTTTAAACATTAGAGAAGCATATAAAAATTGTAAAAATTGTCAGATTTTTCTAAAATAAAAATATATTAAAGCGAAACATTTCGAAAAGCTACACGGTTATAACGGGTTTATAAATTTTTTACTGATCACTTTCAATGAGCAAACAAGGAAGACCGAGAAGTGCAGAAAAATTTTATTTAAAAACTTTTACTTTTTTTTTTTCTTATCAGTTGTTGATAACAAAAGAAGAAATAGAAGCCTGTCGAAATTTTTTTCGGCAATTTTAGAATGCCATATTTGACGCCAAAATTAAAGTTTTAAAGTAGTGTGACCAGTGACTTATACAACTGAAATAAACACGGTATTCTTTGTGCTTAGAAGATAAAGAAAAAATTTTATTAGGTTCAGTAATTTATCTAGACATTGTTTTTGCTTTTCTTCTTTGTACATTTACAAGACAATTGCAATAAACTCATCTGTTTACTGAAAAAACCTAGGACAGCATTAGGAGCTTTTTTATGCGTCTATTTTTTTTGTTGCAAGACCTGGCAGTGTTCATTGGATAACTCAAAAAATAAACGATCTTATAATGTCTACATCATTAGACATGAAACTGTGTGTTGCGTCCTAATTCAGCCTAGCTTAGCATAAGTTCCAAGATGTATCAAGAAAACCAAGTGTAGAGAAGAAAAATTTTACTAACATAGAAGAAAAGCAAAGAAAAATTGTAATAGAACGAAAGGAAACAGATTTGAAAGTGTAAAGAAAACAATGATGGAATTAATTTCGATAAATTTGAGGATTAAAGTAATGGATTAAGGCAAAAATAACCAGGCAATAAAGCGAAATAAGGTCAGCTAGAATTGAATTTTATAAGAACTCTAAAAATATTGCTTAACAGCTTATTTTCAAGCGCTTAGAGTGACCACAAATAGATCGATAGCTCTCTGACCTCAAACTATTACAACAGTGCTGGATAGACTAAACTTTAAGATAAAACATAGGTAACAGCTAACACTATGTTTTCTAACTGGTGCTACAGCTTAAACCACCAATCTGTAAAATATCAAGAGGTTCTCATGTTCTGAATATTAGCATTAGACAGCTAGAAAAATACGTAATCTACTACCATCTATAATTTCTAAAACACGTGGGTTTTGCTTTAGAACATCAACTGCCTGCAGTTAGTGGAATAAAGAATTAGTAACACACTCCTTTTGCTACAAATGTTCGTTTCAACTACTCATACTTGTATTTTCACTGTGTATGTTAACAAAAAAGAATTTGTTTTGTGTGGAGGCTATGATCTTCATAGTTATATTTTTTTTCTATTCTTTTTAAGTGAAAGCTGGTATATATATATTGTATATAACTGAGCTGAAACTTTATTCAGAATGCTCTTTGTCTTTCAAAGACGAACCTATATAAACCAGTGAAATGTAGCGTTTTTGAGAACTTTTCTTATGCGTAATTGTTGTTTTTACAGATACCCAGACAAAAACTTATAGTGCCCAATATATAATAACATGCTAATTACAGTGTTTTCAGAGTACACAATGTTGGCTCTTGAAGTTGCAGTTTTTAATAAAAACTAAACATCTTTGCAAAATATTTTTTCTTTTACGGCTTTTTAGAATGTTACTTTTTTCATTTAATGCACCTGCAATACGCTCTGTATTTGAGCACTACTGCATAAAGCCAAATAAACCGTTTATGTTAATAAAAAAAGTTTACTAATTACAGTAAGTTTTGTACACTTTTAACTAATCTTTTTTTATCTGCACTGACAACGATTAGTATTTGAATTACTAAATTAATCTCACTATAAATTATTAGTTATTTATAAAATTTTAGCATTGACACAAAATTTTTAACAGCAGAACAGTGAAACAGTTTTCTTCGCTTATTATTTTTTTTGCAATGTTTAGAATTTTGTAGAATTTTTCTGGTTTTATAAATTTTAAGCAAAAATTATGACAAATTTGTTGTTCTTAAAAGGCGTTTTATTCTACAGTAAGTAAAGTTTTCTCTTCTTCAGTTCTACTGGAAAAGCACAGTTTTTTTTCAGATTTGTTTCGTTTCCCTTCTTTACCTAATGTAGCTTGCATCGAAAACTTCATGCATTATTTTCATCCTTCTGTTTATTCGTTGCTATTATTCCGATTAATAATTTGCGGTGTGCACTAATAAGTAGATCAGCGCATTTTTGATGTTTTAAGCTCATTTTTTAAGTATTACTTGCTGTTTCAATTATGTGCTGCCACCTTTTAAAGTTTCTTTTACTACTTACACTGATAAGTAATTGTGATCGTTGCGGTAATAAATACGTCAATAAAGTTCTACAGTTAAGATCAATATATTGAAATGAGCAGCGTGTAATCACAACCCGATGTGTCAATATTTTTATGCGCTTCTTTTTTTAAAGCACTGACGTTGTGCCATTTTGCTGTTTAATAATATAGTAATAAAAACACCAGAAATTCTAATAAAGTGTTCATAGATTAAACATTCGTACTGATAAGACAAAAGAAAATGAATAATTTGCTGTGCTGTATTTTTAAACTGCTTGCTACGCACTTTAATAGAAAAAAATTCTGTACAAATTTTAAAATATACTAAGCTGAATTTATTCCAATAATAACAAAAGTTTTAAAAATAAACTTATTTTTTTCACAATAAAAGAAAAAGCTACAGGAAATGAGAAAGCATAATTTATCTACGCTGAAAGAAGATCAGCAAAATGTATTTTCCTCTAGCTTTTACTATTTTTGAAATTTCCAGTTCAGCTATATAGTAAATCGCATCAAAAACTACAGATCTCTCTTTCTTTCCTCCATTTAAAGCAACGCCATGAACTGATGCGTGAACCAGAACAATTATTAAAGATATTGATGGCATCGCAAGTGTAATGTAGTTCAATAATAAAATCCAAAAAAGGATGATAGCTGCTATAAGAAGCGCAACAGTAACCGCAACCTCCATAAAATTTTTGATCTGAAACAATGAAAAAGATAATGTTTTACGAATCAAACAGTTAGTTACTGCTTTAAAAATATCAACATTACACACATTGCCTAAACATACAAAATCGCTCTACGTTTGTTAATTTTGTATAATTAATTATAGTTGATTTTGCTTGACAGAAATATCCTTCTTACTTTTACTGGTTAAGTTTTAAAAAATTTTGATAAAAGAACATTATCTAAAACAAGAGCGTTTTAACCTGTACGACGCAAAGATAAGAAACAATAAATAGCTTATTTTTTTTATCTGTTTTCTATTTGATTTTGTACCTAAGACGAGCAACAGAACCATAGAAGCGTTACTCAGTTTTAACTAAAGTATTATTTCCAGACACCTCAGAGTTTACTGGAAATTATGGAAAGAGAAACCTTTTTATTATTTAATGCACCAGTTTCCTAAAACAATTACAAAACACATTCTAATAGCTTTTCTGAACCAATACTTAATCTTTCAAAAACCTGTTTCTTTAAAAACAGTTCTGTCTTTGCCTCTTTCGAGCGTGATCTGATAAGAATAGTGCAACCTTCCTTTACTCATTGTCACGCAAAGAAAGCTGAAACACCCAGAGCCCTACAAGTACGCATCTATCGTTAAAATTAAGTCAATTTTTAGCAATTTCTTAGTTTCTGCCTATTATTCTCCTCGCAGCACTTCACACAATGCGTTGCAATCAAGAAATTCTCACTAACAAACTACAGATACAAATTGCACCTAGAGAACTTGAAAAAAAAAGAAAAAGATTTTTCTACACCAAAGAAAAAATATTTGAGCGTCAGAAAAAACAGTCCTATTTGCATAAGCTCTTCTCTAAAAAGCCTACAATTATCGAATTCAAGCATTGACGTGAGAAAACGCTCAAAACCTTCACATCAAAAAAATTCAAAAATTCTTGTTTTAGATTAGCCGATTCAAAAAAGTATGGTATGGTACCACTACTCAAAAAAGGTCGACGACTATGATGTTAAAAACGTAGAAAAATGCTCAACTTTTGCTGCGCTTATGTGTTTCAATTACGCTTTTCTGAAAATGATGAAATTACAAAGTAATTACAATCATACAGGTTAGTTTACCTCTTTTCCTAAATTTCTTTTCCATTCGTAATTTGCACTAAGCAATGCTGAACCAATGAACAGTGCTACGAACAGTGCCACCGCTCTAACAGCATAAGCTAACTCTGCTGGGTAGATTATCAGCGAAATCGAGAAACCTGCCGCCAAAATGAGAGAATATTGTAACGCATAAAGCTTAAAATTCGCGTCAAGAAGATTCTTCCACTTCTCTCCGTCGCCAAACGGTGGTAACTAAAAAAACTGAAAATAAGCTTAGAAAATTCTTAGAAAGCATGAATACAAACGAGGCCTAGCACAACAATCGGAATAGGATGAGGGAACTGAAAGACAGCGTTAATGTGCTTGTGAAGCTTCATCTACTCCGACAAATGCACACTGAATAATTTTTTGGTTTTAAATGACCTGCATTTTCGTTATTCCATTGAACAACTTTCAGATAGAACTTTTTGGCAAGTGGCAGTTGTAGAGCAAGTCATGCCACAACTGCCAGTTCTGATCTATCCAAACTGAAGCCGTTTGAAAATGTACAAGTTGTTTAACGCAACCACAACTCTAATAGCATTAATAAATTACGAGACTGTATTGCTCTTTTTTTTTTTTGCTCTTCATTTCGCAACAGAAAAACAGTT